ATATCATAAAAGAAAAACCAAATAAAACATCATCAAGTTCTGGGGAATTCAACCCCCAACGATATCAGCAATACATGCATTCATTACAGGATGGGGGATAGATTCAAAAACAACAAAATCTTCAGACATGCCGTGCCCCACTTTAGCCAAAATGTCCGCAGCCATGTTTGACTCACGCATCACATGAGAGATCTTCACATGGGGGATACAACGAAGGAGGTCCCTCCAATCAAACACGAGAGAGCTAAGTGGATGGTTCTCAATGGGCTATTTAGATAACAAATTAACAGCAGTAAGGGAATCAGTTTCAATGAGTAAGTGAGAAAAGTTTCTAGAGACAGCAAGTTGGAGTCCATCTCTAATTGCCCACAGTTCTGCTAACAGAATAGATGACCATCCAATTCTTTTGGAAAATCCAAGGATCCAATTACCCCAAGAATCTCTTATTAGACCACCTCTTGCAACCTTCCCAGGATTATCGATGGCCGAGCCATCGGCCCATCGGTGTTCAATTTGAGAAAGGACGGGGGAGGCTTGATCCATTTGTACATACTAGTGGGGCGTTGGTTCTGCCTCTTATAAGGAACTGTACTGTAATATTCTGCTGCTCTTTCAACAATAAGCTTAGAGGCCGAAATAATAGGATAGGGGTGGGTTGAATGTATGAGTTGGTTCCTATGAAGCCAAATACCCCAAATGGCAAAGCAAAAAACAACATTCCAAGGGATGTTTAGAATGTTTGACTTCTCCGAGCATTGAAAGTTAAAGTGAAACCACTCCACAAACCCTAATTGTTGCTGTTGCGTAGTGGAGATGCCAGGTAGGAGACTTCCTAGAATTTGGGATGATATAGGGCACATCCTAACCAAATGTTTGACAGTCTCGTCTCCAACTTGACACCGAGGACAGGATGCCGAAGCACAAATGCCTAGCTTATTAAGAAAATCAAAGCATTTAAGTCGCCGATGGGTAAGCAGCCATATGAAATGTTGGATTTTTGGGAGGGTGGGGGCTTTCCAAACCCATTTCCAGTTGTTATCAGCTGACATAGTGGGGTCCTTCAAGCACTGGTAGGCTAAAGCTGCAGAAAATTCACCATCAGGGGAGTTTTTCCAAGCAAACCCATCATCTTTTGTGGAAGACAAGGAGATAGGGGTAGCTTGAATAATAGCAAGAATATTACTTGGGAGATCATAGTTAATCAAGTTAGGGGCCTTTCCCGCAGCTTGAAAGTACTCTTCCATAGTAATATTAGCAAAGTTAGCATTGTGAGGGCCAAAGACCGTTGCTGACAAAGGTGAGGACCTACCCAGCAATCATTCCAGAAACTGATTTTCCTGCCAGTTTTGGGTAACCATTTGATATTGTTAATGAATAGCTCATAACTTTTGCCAATAGTTTTCCAAGAGGGGGATCCAGAATGAGTGGGTACCATGTGAGGATTAGAAATGTTATATTTTTTTCTGTAGAGTTCACTCCAACGTTTGTCTTTTTCTTTATGCAATCGCCAATTCAACTTGGACATAGCAACAATATTGGATTCCTTTGAGCTTTTCAACCCGAGCCCTTTCTTCTTTCCTTTAGTGACTTTGTCCCAACTTACAAGATGGATCCTTCTATGTTTTGGTTCGGTACCCCACATAAAATTTCTGGACATGCGATCCAACTCCATATGGATAGCTGCAGGCAAGAGGGATGATTGCATATGGTAATTGGGAATGGAGGCCAAAACAGAACTGGCAAGAGCAGTACGACCAGTAAAGGATAGGAATTTAGACTTCTAACTAGCAAGTTTGCCACGAACTTCATCCACCACAAATTGCCATTTGCTCTTATTCAGTTTTTGAGCTGAGATAGGTATACCAAGATATTTACCCAAATCGTCCATTGGAGTATATCCCAGTGTGGAGCAAATAGCTTCCCGAGAGGCCTGGTCCACATTCTTTGAGAACAGGATTTTAGATTTTTGATGGTTAACACACTGTCCTGATCTTAAACAGAAGAAATCAAGAATGCCTCTTGTATGATGAGCTGTATGGGCATCCACACGAAGCAAAGGACCGACCTTGTTTCCAATTTTCCTTAATGTAACAGGGTCGTAATGATCCGCAGATAAATTGGGAAGTTCGGCCCAAACAGAAGTGGTTGTTGTTGTGTAGAGAGCTTCTTCCGGGTCAAAGTTGGGTTCCCACCTTCTCATAGTTAGTAAATAGGGACCAATAAACCAGGGGCTCCCTTGGATCACCTTGCTCAAATTTTCATTATCATGGAAGCGAACTAGAAAAAAATAAGTCCCAAATCAATAAAATCCCATTTACTTGTGGGTTTCCATTGTGCCTTAACACGAGGATAAACATAGTTATAACCCAGTGACTTGTGATGGAAGGCCTTAATGATAATAGCATTCATCCATGGCTCCCTAATCCGTCGTTTCTCTACCTTAGAAAGCAGAATAACCGGAGCATCATCATACGGGTCGTCATCCACATCTGAATCTTCCTCCATGTAGCCAGGTATTGTGGAGAAGGAAATGACTGACGGGTTCTCAACCACTAACAGTTTGTCTCTATAGGAAGTCCCAGCAGTTGCTCCAGATGGCAGTGGGATGTTGCCGGTGGGGAGATCTTCGTCCATCAGAGTACCTTGGGGATTTGATTGATCCTGAACTTGTTGTAGTTCCATGGTTTCAAGCAAGGGAGGATCCTTGCTTGGGAATTCGAGATAACATCCTCCTTGATCCACTTAACGCTGCGATCAAGAAGGTCCAATTCCTCCGATGACGGTTGGGCTGTAGAAAGCAAGAGAGTTTTAGACATCATTATCGCTTCGTTGGTAAACTGAGGACAGAATTACGAGATTGTCTCTTATGATGATGTTCTACACTTCTGTTAAGGGCGAGTTGGTTTTTTTGATATTTAGCCTCCCAAATTAACGTGTGAACTGTGAACACCCAATACTTGAAAAAACAAATAAAAAAAAAATATTTACCTTGAACCAACGTACTTCATTTTGCAACTGCAAAGCTGCAGCATGGATGTAACCTAATTGATAATGAGGAGGTAACATTGCTGCTAGATGTAATGTATTATTTCCATCTTCATCAGTGATAAGAAGCATGTTTTTCTCCTTCTCAGATTCATAAAGAAGGTGTGCCACTCTCTCTTGACGATGTGCTACAGCACAAGCAAATATGTTTTGAATTTTTGATCTTGAATCTTCAGGATCTGTACTGCTCCATAATATATTTGCATTAGCTTTTGTAATTTCTTTCACAATATCAGGGATGCCGTTCTTGATAGCCTGGAATGTTGCTTCCACTGCTCTACTTTGCACAAACTGGTTCTGATCTAATTCTGAAAATGACTGATGACATATTAAATGTATAACCTCACGGGCATACTCATCCATCAACTTTAGCTGATATAAATGCGTATCTAATAACAAAAGAAAAAAAAAAAAATTTAGTACAAAGAAGAATCAAGATATAGAACAAAAATGAAGAAAAGAAAATGGCTCATTGATTAGTAGACGTAGTATTTCTTACCAAAGTACCATGAGAGCATTGAAACCAGCATGCGTAGCGCCACTATACAATGAATGAGTATATAGATCAGAAAGAATGAGTTTCACAATTGCAATTTATTGCCTTCATAACCGTTAGCTAAAATGTGTATGCTCATTGTGTGGATGTTGTTGCTTATTGCTTACCAAGGATCAGTTTACCAAGGATCAGTGGCATTGAAAGCGTGATTACGATTGCCAGCCCTACAGTAAATGAGTTATATTCAAGATTAGAAAGAATGAGAGTTCATAACTACAATAATTGATATTCTTTCTATGACCTTTAGAGTTTAGAGAAAAATATTGCCTTTGACTCATAATACAAGAATAAAATTCAAATGACCTTAATCCAAGTCCTAAACACAAAGGGAATAAACATACACATCCGTTAACATGCTTAGATGATAGACATAACACAAAAATCAATTAAGGGAACAAAAAAGTCTCATTCATTACTTACCAATCAGAGAAACTGACATAACCAGTACTTCAAATGATATCCCTGCAGTGAAGGAGTAATATTTAAAATTCCGAAAGAATGAATTTTATAAATACAATTAACACAAATGAAGAAAAAAAAAGCTAATTGAGTGGATGTTACTGCTTACCAATAACGAAGAATATCACTATTCTTAATAGAATTACTCCAATGCCTATAAAAAAAAAAGACTCATATATGATATAAATTAAAACTATTTTATATATAAAACCTTTGAAGTAAATGATCAGTAAAGATTCAAAATGAATAATAAGATATTAATGAGTTTCATATATAGATGCAATAAGTACGTGCAGTGCTAATCGCACTAGCAATGTGCATTATAAACTTTGGCGAGATTCGAGTTCCCGCTTTTTATGAATAATTCTCCATCCCTAATTTTCAATTGTCTTTTAACTTATGGCATAAGAACAAAAAATTACTGTTACCAAATTATAAAGAAAAACAAGAAATCCAAAGAGCAACTTTGGTGCCAAGCATCTACCCAACAAAATCGACAAAGTCATTAAAGAAAATTGCAAATACTAAAATAATATACACCACAGAAGTCTTTAAATGATTTATGAAAAATTTTATGAATATTCTCACCACTTGACAGAAAACATTGTTGGACTATCGCTCCACATGACTGAAATGAGGCCGTCATCTTCTGTACGCTTGCCTTAAAAAAGTCTTGGATCTTCTCCACGCATGATCGATGCTTTTCTTCTTTGATGATGTATGCCTTCACTCTTATGCCTTAAATTACAATTTCAACCAATAAAGAGAGGATTTAATAGATTAAATCGATCGAGAAGAACAAACTTAAACAAAAAAAAGAAAAAAAGAAAAAAAGAAAGATGCAAAAAAAACCCAAATAGGTTATGAGATTTGTGATGAATCTAAGCTTAAATTTTTTTTAGACAAACAATTATTAAATATATTAAAAGAAATTTATTATGTTAAAAATTAAAGAGAAAAAAAAAACAATACTAACAATCATATATCTACCGTCCCCAAAATGAAAGATTACTTCCTCTGGAGAATGGGGGTGGCGTTTGAACCAATGTTAAAATGAGTGGAACGGAATCTGAAATACAATTGTGAGATGCCAACTTTGGAAAATGGTGAAGTAGATCGAATACAATATCTGCCATCAAAGCTTGTTAGAGAAAGTAAAACAACAACATAACATAATATGAGATTGCTAAAAAAAAATATATATTGACAATTAAATGTTAGAAATAATAATAAAAAAATAAAATATTTTTAATAAATAAACACTCAAAAAAATTTATTAAATACATTTGAATAATTTTATAAATAATCCTAATAGTATTTTAAATATCAAGACATTTTGATTTTTATTTTTTCTATTATATAATATGGTAAAGAGATGAAGAACTAATTAATGTTAAGAGTTCTTACCAAACATTTTCCTAGTTATACACTCTTGAAGGATGTAGAAGCCATGGTCAACGTTTAGGGACTCTAGTGGAGTCTCACGGTACAGATAGCGTGTCATGTCCTCTTGAATTGTGCTGTAGGCCAATTGAACAGGGATCTTTCCATCATTGTCTGGGATGGTAAGCAAATTACGGTTCATTCTAACTAAACTTTGTGCAATTGATTTCCCGACT